CACCCTGGGGCACTCCTGGGGCTCCCCAGTGTTCTCTGTGTGGGGCGGGGCTGGTGTTGGTCACCCTGGGGCACTGCTGGGGCTCCCCAGTGTTCTCTGTGTGGGGCGGGGCTGGTGTTGGTCACCCTGGGGCACTGCTGGGGCTCCCCAGTGTTCTCTGTGTGGGGCGGGGCCGGTGTTGGTCACCCTGGGGCACTGCTGGGGCTCCTCAATCATCTGCCTGTCTGCGTTTCTTTGCCGCGAGGCATATTACTTTCCAGTGATTGACGGCACTTGTTTCGCGATTAGGCTTGGCGTCTCACCTTTACGGGCTTGGCGATTAACCCTTCCCAGGTACGCCGGGGCGCCTCTGACCCCACGGTCGTCGTCGCCCTACAATCAATAACAACAACTCGCTCTTCTCGGAACATTTTACTGGTGGTTAACAAACTGTATTGACATAACTACCTGTGCCTTGTCATAGTCCAATTAGCGTGACCAAACTGTGCTCTGATGTTAGGGATCAACAGCGTCAAGTAATCTGAGGAGAAGTATTGACCGACTCAATACTTCTCAATGGTCATCCCTGCTTTTCTCTTGATTATAATAATTCATATTGTCTGGGGACACAAAGGAAATAGTTCTGATTGGTCATTATTGGTGATGACGTCAAGGAAAGAGTTCTGATTGGTCATTATTGGTGATGACGTCAAGGAAAGAGTTCTCATTGGTCATTATTGGTGATGACGTCAAGGAAAGAGTTCTCATTGGTCATTATTGGTGATGACGTGAAGGAAATAGTTCTCATTGGTCATTATTGGTGATGACGTCAAGGAAAGAGTTCTCATTGGTCATTATTGGTGATGACGTGAAGGAAATAGTTCTGATTGGTCATTATTGGTGATGACGTCAAGGAAAGAGTTCTGATTGGTCTCTGGTGACAATATCAGCCAGTTAAATGAACTAAATGACGTGGTCTGAGTGGTTATTTCCAAATGTCAACAAAAATGGAATAATCTGATTGGTCCTCGATGGTCCCTGCTAAATGCCATAACAGTATGTTAATCCCCTTGTTATGATATATAATGGGAAAACAATGATCTAATTGGCGATCTGAACGCGCACTCTAGCTGGCCATTGGCTGCTGGAGGTCAAGCAATTCGCAAACAATCAAATTGCAATTTGGCATGCTTTAGAGGCAAACAAATGAAGCAAACACACACGAACAAACACAAATGGGAAGACTTTCTTTCACTGATGCCTCTGTTCTCTTAGAAGTAAATAGGTACGTGGGAGTGTGTGAACACTCACAAAGTTGAAATTGCGGGGTTGAGCTTCGGCTCTTTGGACCCGCCTCTCAACTGTCAATCAACTGGTGTACAGATTCCTGAGCCTACTGGGCTCTATCATATCTACATTTGAAACTGTGTATGGAGTCAGCCTCCACCACATCACTGCCTAATACATTCCATCTGTTAACTACTCTGACACTGAAAAAGTTCTTTCTAACGTCCCTGTGGCTCATTTGGGTACTCATCTTCCTCCTGTGTCCTTTGTTCGTGTTCCACCCGTATTAAATAGTTTGTCTTTGTCCACCCTGTCAATTCCTCTGATAATTTTGTAGGTGGTGATCATGTCTCCCCTTATTCTCCTGTCTTTCATAGACTTGAGATTTAATTCACGTAACCTTTCCTCGTTGCTCATGCATCTCAGTTCTGGAACTAGTCTGGTGACATACCGCTGAATCTTCTCTAACATTGTCCTCTCTTTAACTTGGTATGGACTCCAGACTGGAGCTACATATTCCAGGCTTGGTCTTACATAAGTGGTATACAAGATCCTGAACGATTCTTTATACAAGTTTCTAGAGGCAGTTCTTATGTTGGCCAGTCTAGCATATGCCGCTGATTGTATCCTTTTGATGTGGGCCTATGTGGACATGTTCGTTGTGATATCAACCCCCAGATCTTTCTCTCTATTTGACTCTTGCAGGATATCACCTCCCAGATGGTACCTTGTGTTCAGACTTCTACTCCCGTCGCCTAATTTCATTATTTTACACTTTCTTGAGTTGAACTTTAGCAGCCATTTTCTAGACCATTCCTCCAGTTTATCCAGGTCATCCTGTAGTCTCTGTCTATCTCCATCTGTCTTGATTCTTCTCATAATTTTTGCATCATCAGCAAACGTTGAGAGGAATGAGTCTCTACCCTCTGGAATATCGGTGACATGTATTAGAAACAGGATGGGTCCAAGTACAGAGCCCTGTGGGACTCCGCTGGTGACATCTCGCCACTCTGATGTCTCCCCCCCTCACCGTTACTCGTTGTTTCCTGTTGCTTATATACTCCCTTATCCACTGAAGCACCTTATCTTTTACTCCTGCTTGTTTCTCTAACTTTATTAACAGCCTCTTATGGCAAAAGACCTGTGACATAGGTTTTCTTACAGTCTACGAAAATGCAGTCTGCCCACCATTCTCTTTCATTTCTAATTTTTGTCGCTTGGTCACAGAATTCTATTAGACCTGTGAGGCACGATTTACCATCCCTGAACCCATGTTGGTGGTGCGTTACAAAGCTTTTTCCCTCCAGATGCTCTACGAGCCTTTTCCTCACGATCTTCTCCATCACCTTGCATGATATACAAGTTAGGGAAACTGGCCTATAGTTCAGTGCCTCGTGGCTGTCACCCTTCTTGTATATTGGGACTGCTTTGGCTGTCTTCCAGCTTTCCGGTAGGTCTCCTGTTTCCAGTTACCTATTATACACATTAGAGAGTGGCACACTTAATGCCTTTGCACCTTCTTTTAGTATCCATGGTGAGATTCTGTCAGACCCAACAGCATTTGTCACATTCAGCTCCAACAGACACCTTTTGACCTCATCACTGGTGAGGTCAAATTCCTCCAAGGTTGCTTGGTTTGCCTCCTCCTCATTTAGTGCAGGGGCTTCTCCTTGTTCTTTTGTGAAGACCTCCTGGAATCTCTTGTTGATATCTTCACACACCTCCTTGTCATTCTCTGTGTATCTGTTCTCCCTTTTTTCAGTTTCATCACTTGTTCCTTCACTGCTGTTCTCCTCCTGATGTGGCTGTGGAGCAGCTTTGGTTGGGTCTTGGCTTTACTCGCGATGTCATTTTCATTTCTGGCCCTCTGGTATCTCTCCCTGCTCTCCGGTGTTCTGTTATTCCTGGAGTTTCTCCATGTTTTTGTACTCAATTGCTTCGCTATCTTATCTTGAAGTTATCTTGAGATGATTTCGGGGCTTAGCGTCCCCGCGGCCCGGTCCTTCGACCTGGCCCCTTTTTTGTTATGTATCCCCAGGAAGCAGCCTTTAGCAGTTGTCTAACTCCCACGTACCTATTCACTGCTAGGTGAACAGAGGCATCAGGGTGAAAGAAACTGCCCATTTGTTTTTTCCTCCGCCGGGGATCGCACTCGGATCCTAAGGACTACGATTCCCGAGCGCTGTCCACTCAGCTATCAGGTCCCCAGCTAAGTGGTGCGTGCTATACAGGCAGTCTTGTATGTACATTTACTAATTTGTATTTAATATCTATATATCCAGAATCGAGCTATTAGCTCTTGGACCCCGCCTCTGTAACCAATGAATTTTTCAATTAATATTTTTTCAACCACTCACAAAAAAAGTTTTGTAAAAAATTTTGATTGTCAGTGAACCCAAATTATAACTAGAACCAAAATAAAAAAAAAACGGGGGAGAAAAGCTTGATAAAAAGAGGTCTGCGAAAGTTTGAGGATTGAAAAGTACGGAAAGTTTTGCCAAGAGATTGAAAAGGATCAGATTTTCCCCCCAAGATAATCACCGCCGCCTCCTAGACGAGGTCGTTAACAGCAGTTTACCTCCAGTATACCTTGAGAATACCAGGAGTATATCTGAAGTATTCAAAGTAAATATCTGGAAAATTCCTGGAGCATACCTAGAATACACCTTCAGTGTACCTGGAGTATACCAGTAGTAACCTTGAGAATACCTGAAGTATTCCTGGAGTATACCTGCAACATATCTGAAGCATACGTGTAGTATATGTATATACTTGAAGTATACCTTGAGGATACAGGAATCATAGCTAGAGTATACCTGTAATATACTTGGAGCATGCATTAGTATACCTAGAGTATACCTGGAGTATATCTGGAGTATACCTGGAGTATACCTGGGACATACCTGGAATATGCCAGGTATGCCCCAGTTAGACATTTCTTTAAAAAAAAATTGATTGGGGTAACAAGTCTTCTTTAACGGGGTTTGTTTACTTTATGAAGAAAATCCAGCCCGTCCTCGACTCAAGTCCATTACATCCAGCGGTCAACCCCACAGACGCATTCATAAATTTTAATATGCTGTTCATTCAAAGCGGGAATTTCCTCAAGTATAAATTAATATTATAATATATTAGCATATTGTGTATATATAGGCATAAGTTAGGTTAGGTTAGATGTTTAGGTTCTGTTGGCGATTATTTGTATTTGTAGTACGTGGGTGAAGCATTTATAGCGTTGTGATTCGAACAAAATTCGTCAGTGAAACACTTGTTCCGGAAGTGTTCGAACGTCAGCAGTTGTGAGTCGTGTGTAAACCGCTTTTCATTCATAAACAGGGGGTTTGGCGGGTGCATGGAATCACTTTTGGATCTTTGTTTGGAGGATGGGCTGAGAAAATCCGTTAAAATTGGCGGGAAACCAGTCAGGTGATTCACGAGTCAGGTGAATCATGAATCAGCTGATTCATGAGTCAGGTGAATCATGAGTCAGCTGATTCATGAGTCAGGTGATTCACGAGTCAGCTGATTCATGAGTCAGGTGATTCACGAGTCAGCTGATTCATGAGTCAGGTGATTCACGAGTCAGCTGATTCATGAGTCAGGTGATTCATGAGTCAGGTGATTCACGAGTCAGGTGAATCATGAGTCAGCTGATTCATGAGTCAGGTGATTCATGAGTCAGCTGACAGAAGACATTAAAGATCCAAAAAATAAATAGACATTCGTTAATGATTTCATTTCCTACGTTGAAGAGCAAACTTATGTCTCCGAGTCTCTCTGGGTTTGTTGTGTTGCTTGCCAGTCTTAGACTTGCTGTATTGCTTGTCAGTCTTAGACTTGCTATATTGCTTGCCAGTCTTAGACTTGCTATATTGCTTGCCAGTCTTAGACTTGCTATATTGCTTGCCAGTCTTAGACTTGCTATATTGCTTGCCAGTCTTAGACTTGCTATATTGCTTGCCAGTCTTAGACTTGCTATAGTGCTTGCCAGTCTTAGACTTGCTATAGTGCTTGCCAGTCTTAGACTTGCTATATTGCTTGCCAGTCTTAGACTTGCTATATTGCTTGCCAGTCTTAGACTTGCTGTATTGCTTGTCAGTCTTAGACTTGCTATATTGCTTGCCAGTCTTAGACTTGCTATATTGCTTGCCAGTCTTAGACTTGCTATATTGCTTGCCAGTCTTAGACTTGCTATATTGCTTGCCAGTCTTAGACTTGCTATATTGCTTGCCAGTCTTAGACTTGCTATAGTGCTTGCCAGTCTTAGACTTGCTATATTGCTTGCCAGTCTTAGACTTGCTATATTGCTTGCCAGTCTTAGACTTGCTATATTGCTTGCCAGTCTTAGACTTGCTATATTGCTTGCCAGTCTTAGACTTGCTATATTGCTTGCCAGTCTTAGACTTGCTATAGTGCTTGTCTTGCCAGTCTTAGACTTGCTATATTGCTTGCCAGTCTTAGACTTGCTATATTGCTTGCCAGTCTTAGACTTGCTATATTGCTTGCCAGTCTTAGACTTGCTATAGTGCTTGCCAGTCTTAGACTTGCTATACTTGCTATTGCTTGCCAGTCTTAGACTTGCTATAGTGCTTGTCAGTCTTAGACTTGCTATATTGCTTGCCAGTCTTAGACTTGCTATAGTGCTTGCCAGTCTTAGACTTGCTATAGTGCTTGCCAGTCTTAGACTTGCTATAGTGCTTGTCAGTCTTAGACTTGCTATAGTGCTTGCCAGTCTTAGACTTGCTATATTGCTTGTCAGTCTTAGACTTGCTATATTGCTTGCCAGTCTTAGACTTGCTATAGTGCTTGCCAGTCTTAGACTTGCTATAGTGCTTGTCAGTCTTAGACTTGCTATAGTGCTTGCCAGTCTTAGACTTGCTATAGTGCTTGCCAGTCTTAGACTTGCTATAGTGCTTGCCAGTCTTAGACTTGCTATAGTGCTTGCCAGTCTTAGACTTGCTATAGTGCTTGCCAGTCTTAGACTTGCTATAGTGCTTGCCAGTCTTAGACTTGCTATAGTGCTTGCCAGTCTTAGACTTGCTATAGTGCTTGCCAGTCTTAGACTTGCTATAGTGCTTGCCAGTCTTAGACTTGCTATATTGCTTGCCAGTCTTAGACTTGCTGTATTGCTTGTCAGTCTTAGACTTGCTATATTGCTTGCCAGTCTTAGACTTGCTATAGTGCTTGCCAGTCTTAGACTTGCTATATTGCTTGCCAGTCTTAGACTTGCTGTATTGCTTGTCAGTCTTAGACTTGCTATAGTGCTTGCCAGTCTTAGACTTGCTATAGTGCTTGCCAGTCTTAGACTTGCTATGTTGCTTATCAGTCTTAGAATTGCTATGTTGCTTATCAGTCTTAGAATTGCTATGTTGCAATCATCATAGTAAGTCTAAGACTGGCAAGCAAAATAGCAAGTTTAAGACCTGAAAGAAAAATAGCAAGAGTAAGACCTGGCAAGCAACATAGTAAGTCTAAGATTGGCAAGCAACATAATAAATCTAAGACTGGCAAGCTACCCAGTAAGTCTAAGACTTACTGTGTTGCTTGTCAGGTCTTACACTTACTATGTTGCTTGCCAGGTCTTACACTTACTATGTTGCTTGCCAGGTCTTACACTTGCCATGTTGCTTGCCAGGTCTTACACTTGCTATGTTGCTTGCCAGGTCTTACACTTACTATGTTGCTAGTCAGGTCTTACACTTGCTATGTTGCTAGCCAGGTCTTACACCTACTATGTTGCTAGTCAGGTCTTACACTTACTATGTTGCTAGCCAGGTCTTACACTTGCTATGTTGCTAGCCAGGTCTTACACTTAGTATGTTGCTAGTCAGGTCTTACACTTACTATGTTGCTAGCCAGGTCTTACACTTAGTATGTTGCTAGCCAGGTCTTACACTTGCCATGTTGCTAGCCAGGTCTTACACTTAGTATGTTGCTAGCCAGGTCTTACACTTACTATGTTGCTAGCAAGGTCTTACACTTGCCATGTTGCTAGTCAGGTCTTACACTTACTATGTTGCTAGCAAGGTCTTACACTTGCCATGTTGCTAGTCAGGTCTTACACTTAGTATGTTGCTAGTCAGGTCTTACACTTGCCATGTTGCTAGCCAGGTCTTACACTTGCCATGTTGCTAGTCAGGTCTTACACTTAGTATGTTGCTAGCCAGGTCTTACACTTAGTATGTTGCTAGCCAGGTCTTACACTTGCCATGTTGCTAGTCAGGTCTTACACTTGCCATGTTGCTAGCCAGGTCTTACACTTGCCATGTTGCTAGTCAGGTCTTACACTTGCCATGTTGCTAGTCAGGTCTTACACTTGCCATGTTGCTAGCCAGGTCTTACACTTGCCATGTTGCTAGCCAGGTCTTACACTTAGTATGTTGCTAGTCAGGTCTTACACTTGCCATGTTGCTAGTCAGGTCTTACACTTGCCATGTTGCTAGCCAGGTCTTACACTTGCCATGTTGCTAGTCAGGTCTTACACTTAATATGTTGCTAGCCAGGTCTTACACTTAGTATGTTGCTAGCCAGGTCTTACACTTGCCATGTTGCTTGCCAGGTCTTACACTTGCCATGTTGCTTGCCAGGTCTTACACTTGCCATGTTGCTAGTCAGGTCTTACACTTAGTATGTTGCTAGTCAGGTCTTACACTTGCCATGTTGCTTGCCAGGTCTTACACTTGCCATGTTGCTAGCCAGGTCTTACACTTGCCATGTTGCTAGCCAGGTCTTACACTTGCCATGTTGCTAGTCAGGTCTTACACTTAGTATGTTGCTAGCCAGGTCTTACACTTAGTATGTTGCTAGCAAGGTCTTACACTTGCCATGTTGCTAGTCAGGTCTTACACTTAGTATGTTGCTAGTCAGGTCTTACACTTGCCATGTTGCTAGCCAGGTCTTACACTTGCCATGTTGCTAGCCAGGTCTTACACTTAGTATGTTGCTAGCCAGGTCTTACACTTACTATGTTGCTAGCCAGGTCTTACACTTACTATGTTGCTAGTCAGGTCTTACACTTAGTATGTTGCTAGCCAGGTCTTACACTTACTATGTTGCTAGCCAGGTCTTACACGTACTATGTTGCTAGCCAGGTCTTACACTTACTATGTTGCTAGCCAGGTCTTACACCTACTATGTTGCTAGCCAGGTCTTACACTTACTATGTTGCTAGTCAGGTCTTACACTTGCTATGTTGCTAGCCAGGTCTTACACTTAGTATGTTGCTTGCCAGGTCTTACACTTACTATGTTGCTAGTCAGGTCTTACACTTACTATGTTGCTAGTCAGGTCTTACACTTACTATGTTGCTAGCAAGGTCTTACACTTGCCATGTTGCTAGTCAGGTCTTACACTTAGTATGTTGCTAGTCAGGTCTTACACTTACTATGTTGCTAGTCAGGTCTTACACTTGCCATGTTGCTAGCCAATCAGAGACTAGTATGGTGCTTATAAATCATTTATTATAGTATATTTAAGTTTAATACATTGTTACTTGAGTCCCAATCTTCTATACTACTATTACTGGTAAAAACTTCTAAGTTAATTACACGAGTAAGACTTTGTTAGTGGCAAGTTTAAGTGGGCTGACTTAGTGATCTGTGGTCAAGATCTATAACCTCTCTGGTAATATATGTAAGTTTATATGTACATTAAACTTTGAAACTTACTTGGCTAAAGAATTTTTAGTGGTTAAGTTCCTGAGCTCATTATGTGACTGTAGTCTCCCTCCCCCCTCATAGGGTGGTATGGGGCCCACTACCCAACAGAATGGGTAGTAGGCACCCGTCAGTCTCAGGAGACTACGGAGATGCGCTCTAGTAGTCGGTCTGGAGTAGCCTCTCCAGGGTACAAAGCCAGGGTAGGTTGATATGGAGGAGAAGCTGTTACCCAGGTAGCAGGTCACCCCCTCTCTACGGCGCCGAAAGTCTCCAATGGAAAGGCAAATGCCAATAAGATTAGTTCCAGCGCCGTCGCTGGAACTGTCAGAACTAGGTTGAAGACAACAACGAACTGCCCCTAGGGGGCTCCAGCTCCGAAGTTGACCTCGAAGTTGGTTAAAGACGGCACAGGGACTCCAAATGCGGAGAAGAACCACCCCTTCAAGGGTATGAACGACCCCAGCCTCCTGAAACAGAGCTTGGGGCCGCACGAGCCCCAGGAGGCGGACGTCACGGTCCCCCACCTACGGGTTCCAGACAGAGATCGTCACAACCCTCTGTCACCCGAGGCCGACCTCCTTCCCTGGTGTTACAGGCCCTGATGTTACAGGCCCTGATGTTACAGGTCCTGATGTTACAGGTCCTGATGTTACAGGCCCTGATGTTACAGGCCCTGATGTTACAGGCCCTGAGGTTGCAGGCCCTGAGGTTGCAGGTCCTGATGTTACAGGCCCTGATGTTACAGGTCCTGAGGTTGCAGGTCCTGATGTTACAGGCCCTGATGTTACAGCCCCTGATGTTACAGGCCCTGATGTTACAGGCCCTGATGTTACAGGCCCTGATGTTACAGGCCCTGAGGTTGCAGGTCCTGATGTTACAGGCCCTGATGTTACAGCCCCTGATGTTACAGGCCCTGATGTTACAGGCCCTGATGTTACAGGCCCTGATGTTACAGGCCCTGATGTTACAGGCCCTGAGGTTGCAGGTCCTGATGTTACAGGTCCTGATGTTACAGGTCCTGAGGTTGCAGGTCCTGATGTTACAGGCCCTGATGTTACAGCCCCTGATGTTACAGCCCCTGATGTTACAGCCCCTGATGTTACAACACCTGATGTTACAGGACCTGATGTTACAGCCCCTGATGTTACAGCCCTTATGTTACAGGCCCTGATGTTACAGCCCCGGATGTTATAGCCCCTGATGTTACAGCCCCTGATGAACGCTACACATTTACGGAATTTAATATTCGTTTGAGTTTTCTGATATTCATTGTATGTATACTATTGTTTGCTATTAAGGCCTCAGCAACAGTAAACTGTTGTGGTGGTCTTAGTAACCCTCCAGAGGTTGATTAATATAAACTGAAATAGATAGATAGAGAGAGAGAGAGAGAGAGAGAGAGAGGAGAGAGAGTGAGAGAGAGAGAGAGAGAGAGAGAGAAGAGAGGGAGAGAGAAGGAGAGAGAGAGAGAGAGAGAGAGAGAGGAGAGAGAGAGAGAGAGAGAGAATAGAGAGAGAGAGAGAGAGAGAGAGAGAGAGAGAGAGAGAGAGAGAGAGAGAGAGAGAGAGAGAGAGAGAGAGAGAGAGAGAGAGAGAGAGAGAGAGAGAGAGAGAGAGAGAGAGAGAGAGAGAGAGAGAGAGAGAGAGAGAGAGAGAGAGAGAGAGAGAGAGAGAGAGAGAGAGAGAGAGAGAGAGAGAGAGAGAAAGAGAGAGAACAGAGAGAGAGAGAGAGGTAAGTTAGGGAGGCAGCCAGGGAGGCAGCCAGGGATGAACACTATTGATGGCGAGAGGAACTATTGAGGCAGGAGTCCCTCAGAGAGAGCCAAGGGACCAACAAGGTCAGGGGCGCCCTGATTGCAATTGCAAGATGAATACTCGCTCGACCTGCAGCACGCTACTCAACGTTGCGACAATCTAGCGACCGGATGACGCCTTGTGCCATTGGCTGCTTGTTCAATCAAGCGCAACAATCTAGGTTGTACTTGATTGTTGGGCGTAGCAACAATCAGGGTTGTAAACTTGGTTGTACGAGCCAAGTACAACAATCACAGCTACTTGATGTTCGACGCTGTCAAACATTCACTTGTTTATCCCATTTACGTGAAAATTGTAATAGTTTGGAAAAGAATTTTTTACATTAAGTTCATTTTTCGGAGCTATAATACTTTTGGATGTTCGAACACCTGTTCGAATACCCTGGGGATTCGAACTCTTCTTAATATACCATCTGGTATACTAAATCTGAATTCCTTCTTGGAATATAAACGTTATTATTCCTCACGAGAATTTAAATGTTTTATTCTAAAACCTATTTACTTACTAAGTTTTCTAACTTTCTATATTTACTGAGTATTCTAACTTTCTATATTTACTGAGTATTCTTACTTTCTATATATATACTGAGTATTCTAACTTTCTATATATATACTGAGTATTCTAACTTTCTATATTTACTGAGTATTCTAACTTTCTATATTTACTGAGTATTCTAACTTTCTATATTTACTGAGTATTCTAACTTTCTATATGTATACTGAGTATTCTAACTTTCTATATTTACTGAGTATTCTTACTTTCTATATATATACTGAGTATTCTAACTTTCTATATTTATTGAGTACTAGCAGTACCCGGCCACGCGTTGGTGAGCCACAGCAATCTTCCCCTGTCCCCCAGTCCTATCCACCATCCCCCCCCCCTCATCCGTCTCCTCGGTTTCCCAACCATTCCCCACTCCACCATCCCCTCTTCCTTCCCACCATGCCCCACTCCCCTATCCCTTTGTCCTCCCCATCATTCTCCATTTCCCCGTCCCCTCGTCCTTCCCCACCATTACCCCCTCCCTTGTCCCCTCGTCCTCTGCACCATCTCTCACTTCCGTCTCCTCGGCATCCCCACCATTCCCCACTCTCTCATCCGATGACTTCTATCACATCGGAATGGTCTGATGATCCCATCACTGAAATATGAGAAAAACAGTTAAAAAATTAAATGAAATGTGGAAAAAAAAGAAACTATACTCACGAAATGAACGGTATGGTAAACAACACAGCTCAATTCCAACACAATGTCACACAAAATAATTCAATCAAAAATAAAAAAAATCGAAATCTATGAAAATACAATTTATCAGTGAAATCGGAAATATTGAAATGGAATTCGTGACATATTTAGTATAGCGTGCATGTTACTATTATGTGCAACAGATAGCGTTGTTTTTTCCAAAAACGTATTTTTTTACCTGTCGCACGGGTGGCATCTATATAGTAGGTATATAAAAAGACGTACCTATTTGAATGTAACGTTGTGTCAAAATTTCAAAGCATTCAATGAAGAACTTTCGGAGAAGTTTACAGCGTGTGTTGCTCCTACGTCCAACAGATGGCGCTGTTAAAAAAAAGCATGTTTTTTCCTTTCACAGGTGAGGCATGTATATAGCAGATATATAAAAAGACGCGCCTACTCGAATGCAACGTTGTGTCTAAGTTTCAAAGCCATCGGTATAGAGGTTTCGATGATTTCCCTCACATGAAAAACACTTGCAAAAACACAGTTTTTCAGAAAGAGCATGTTTTTTCCCGTCACAGACGTGACATCTATATAGTATGTATGCTAAAATCTGCTCGGATAGGAATGGAACGTTGAGTGAAAATTTCAAAGCAATCGGTGAAGAGCTTTGGGAGATTAGCGATTTTGAACAAACGAACATTTCCATTTTATTTATAGATTCTAACTTTCTATATTTACTGGGTATTCTAACTTTCTATATTTGCTAAGTATTCTAACTTTTAATATTTACTGAAAATTCTAACTTTCTATATTTACTGAATATTCTAACTTTCTATACTTACTGAGTATTCTAACTTTCTATATTTACTGAGTATTCTAATTTTCTATACCTTATGAATATTCTAATTTTCTATACCTTATGAATATTCTAACTTTC